GGCGAGTCGCCGGGGCCGCCGCCGCGACACGCGGAGCAAAAGGTTCCCCACTGTAAGGCCAGGTCCAGCTCGGCGCCCCGCCGAAAACGGCGGGGGTCTTCACACCCCTCCTTGTCCGCGGCTTCGTTCTCACACTGCAGTCGAGCATCTGATTAAAAGAAGCCTGCTTCCGAACAGTGTTGGCCAGCGTTTCTCAACGAACTTGCCCGAAAGATGGCCCAGTTTCTTGAGCATCTTCGCCCCTTCAGCGTTGATAACAAAAACTGGCCCAGTTTTGTTTTGAGAATCTTGGAGAGAGGCTGGCCCATATTTATGATATCGTAGTTGTCTAGATCAGCTTGTCTTCTGTATTCCTTTATCTTGGAGGCTTCCTCTGCGCATCTTGGGGCACTCTTTTGGGGGTCTCCTAGGGGGCAACTGGGAGCACGTCGGGGGTCTCGACATCGGCTGGTGGTACGAGCGTTCTGCCAAGTTCTCCCGAAGAGGCTCGGCTGAACCCTCCTTTGGGGACGTCTGGGTGGGCATTGGGCTCGTCTTGAAGCCCTCTCGCAACGGTCTCGGGCCGGTTTCGGCGGGGTTCTCGAGTCACTCGAAGAACAAAACATTGCATCGGCAGAAACTTTCAGAGCTCCGCGTGGATTTCTTGGACCTGCGCTGGGCCTCTCTGGCGGCGCCTTCGGCGCCGCCCCGTGGCGCGCTCCGCGCTCCGCGGAGGAGGGTCCAGCGCGGATTCAAGAGGTCTGCGCGGACCTCCAAGAGCTTGTGCTCATGCAGCTCTTCTTTCCTCCTCCTCCTCCTCCTCCTCCTCCTCCTCCTCCTCCCTCCTCCTCCTCCTCCCTCCTCCTCCTCCTCCCTGCTCCTCCCCCTCCTCCTCCTCCTCCTCCTCCTCCTCCTCCTCCTCCTCCACCTTGGCCCGCCGTGGAGCCCTGACAGGGGCTCCCTGGGGCCGTTTTGGGGGGCGTCCTGAGGCTCCCGAATGACTGCCCGAGGCGGATCCGAAGAAGTCTCGGCAGCAGCTTGCACCGGTGAGCCTGACGTTTTTCAGTGTGTGTCGCATCTTGAGGCTTCGCCAGAGGCATGTCTGGGGTCTCTTGGATATTTGTGGGAGCATCTTTTTTGGGCAAACCTGGGAGGGCTCGTGATCCTCCCGCTCACCATGGGCCTTTTTAGCCAGCAGGCGCCGATCGTTCGATCCCCTCCGAAGGAGCGGCGCGAGGGGGGCAAGCAAGTGGGCTTCGACAAGGTGACGCTGGACGGCTCTCGGCGAGCGCCCCTGGCGATCACGTCAGGACACCGCCGGCGCGCTCTGTGGCGCGCGTGCACGCCATGCCTCCTCTTTTTGTTGCAGACCTCCGTTCCAGCTTCCTCCCGTCCTTCCGCTGGACTCACCTCTCCGCTCGTTCGTTCTCCCGCTCGTCCCTTTTTTCTTGTTTTATCTCTCTCTCTCTCTGTCTGTCTGTCTGTCTGTCTGTTTGTCGGCTTCTTTATGTCGCTCTCTTTCTCTCTTTTTCTGTATCTCCCCCTCACTCTCTGTCTCTCTAGATCTATATCTCTCTACCCCCTCTCTCTTTCTTATTCTTATGTGTTTGTTTTCTCTCTGTCTCTCTCCCTCTCTCTCTCTCTGTCGTTTCCTCTCTTCATGGTGTTGTTTTTCTCTCTCTCTCTCTTGCTTAGTGTTGTTATGTCTCTCTCACTCTCTCTCTCTCTCTCTCTCTCTTTCTTAGCCAGCAGGTGCTCCCTTCCCACTGGAGGGCTGGCCCCCGCCGAGCCCCGACCGGGTCCCGAGCTCCCGCTCTTGGTGGTCGGCGTTTCTGTCATGCGTGCGTGTATGTGGAAGTGCGTTTGTGCATGTGCGTGTATATTTGCATGAATGTGTGACTGTTTGTGTGAATCTGCGTGTGTGTGTGTATGTGTGTGCGCTTGTGTTTGCGTTTGTGTGTGCTTGTGCGTGTGTGCGTGCGTGCGTGTGCGCGTGTGTGCGTGTGCGTGCGTGTGCAAGTGTAAGTGTAAGTGTAAGTGTAAGTGTGTGTGTGTGTCTCAGTGTGTATGTATGTGTCTGTGTCTGTGTCTGTGTCTGTGTGTATGTATGTGCCTGTGTCTGTGTCTGTGCCTGTGCCTGTGCCTGTGTCTGTGTGTGCTTGTGTGTATATGTTTGCGGCCCCCGTGGCCGAACTGCGGCCGAGGCTTTCTGTGTGCCCCCCTGCTCGGAGGAGGGAGGTGGAGGGAGGTGGAGGGAGGAGGAGGAGGAGGAGGAGGAGGAGGAGGAGGAGCAGGAGCAGGAGCAGGAGCAGGAGGAGGGAGGAGGAGGAGAGGAGGAGGAGGATGGAGGGGGAGGGAGGAGCAGCAGAGAAGGAGGAGGGGGAGGAAGCAGAGGATGGAGGAGGAGGAAGGAGGAAGGGATACAGCAGTGGCATGGATGAGGGCGGAGTAGAGTAGGAAGTAGGGAGGGAGAGAGGGACGGAGGTGAGGAGGGAGGGAGGAGGAGGTGAGGTGGAGGAGCACTTTTGCTCCCGCCGAGGGAGAGCAGAGCCGGCAGCAGCAGGGATGAGTGATGGGGATTGCCAGGGCCCGAGGGACGGTAGCAACATGGTCGGCGAGTGAGTACCGCGTACAGCGGGTGTTGAATGCTGATGGGGAGGCCTATTACACATCCTGGGGGGGGGGGGGAACACGCTCGCCATGACGATAGGGAGGGGAGGGGATCCTTCCCTCCTCCTCCTACTCTCTCTCCTGCTCCTCCTCCTCCTCCTCCTCCTCCTTTTCCTCTTCCTCCTCCTCCTCCTCCTCCTCGTCCTCATCCTCCTCCTCCTCCTCCTCGGGAACGAGCTGCCCTCAACTGGCTCGCCTCTGGCCTTCTTGAGGTGCGCAGCGGCCTTTTTTGGGAGCCATCCGCCATGCCTCCTCGCTTCCACGGGCGCAGCTGGTTCGCAGGACTGCGTGGGATGCGCTGGCCGAGGAATGTCTTGCTAGCATTCCTCTTTCGCACGTCCCTGCTCACCGTTCAGTCGGGGTCATAGTCGCGTTTCTACCGTGGGAGCGGGAGGTAGCACTTGGGAGCCAGGATGCGGACCGTCTTGCTAAGAACGTGATGCCCCATTCACCCGAGCGTGCCCCCAGCCGAGCTCGAACAGCTTGACGCAGAGGTTATCCTTATAGGTAGGCCTGCTCGATGTTTGGCGCCGTGCTCTTCTGTTCTCCCGAGCTCGACCCCGTTGGACCTCGGGCCAAGACTCTGCGAGCCCTCCAGTGGCACGATTGGGTGATCCTGGATCCTGGGGAGCCCGACTCAGAGAGCTCGGCCAGGTGCAGTTGGTGTTTCAAGGTTGCTTCTGGAGAGAGTGGGCCCATGACAGGCTGCCGACGAGTGCAAGGTGCTGAGAGTGAACGCGGCCACCTCCTGTGCACCACCTTGCGGCGGAATGCCGAGTGTGCCCAGAGTTTGTTCCGCTGTTACAGATGCGGGGCTTACCCGAGCAAGTGCTGTTTCAGATTTTTGTGGAGACTGTAAGGGAAGCCCACGGCCGACAGATCCGAGGGTACTGCCTGCCGCCCGCGTCAGGCAACGCGAGGAGGCCGCCGCAGCAGTGCTCTGCTGCAGAGGGCCCCCGTCTGCGCCACGCTGGCTCTCGAGCGTGGGCCTCCGACGGCCTGCAGAGCTCGAGTGCCGCTGCTCCCCCTCCGCCGCCCCCCCGGGGGCCCTCTGGGGCCTCGGAGCGCTGCTGGAGGAGGAGGAGGAGGAGGAGGAGGAGGAGGAGGAGGAGGAGGAGGAGGAGGAGTAGGAGGAGGGGAGAAAGGAAGAGGAGGAGGAGAAGGAGGCGGAGGAAGGAGGAGGGGGAGGAGGAGGAGGAGGAGGAGGAGGAGAAGGGGGAGGAGGGGAGGAGGAGGAGGAGGAGGAGGAGGGGAGGAGGAGGAGGAGGAGGAGGAGGAGGAGGAGCACCTCCGTCGCCTGCTCCCCTACAGTCGGGGCCCTGAAGAAGGAAAACCCTTTTCGTTGGGGAGGGGCTCGCTGTTCCTCGATCGGGCTGCAGTGTGCCCTCTGTTGTCCGGAGGCTTTCCATGGGAAGTCGAAGTTCAACTCATGGGAGGAAGGGGCCCCGTTCCTTGTTTGGGGTTCCTTAGGTCAACGCCCCGACTGTATCTCTGGGGATGGGAACGGAGACGGGAGGGGAAAAGAGACCACAGGGGCAAGGAGAAGGGGCGGCCAGGGCACAGTCCAGCGGGTGTTGATCTTCGACGAGATCGGAGAAATGGAACTGGTCAGCAAGGATTTCGTGAGCCGGATGTCACACATCCTCAGGTGGAAGGAGGGTAACAACCCCAACCCCAGGTAGCTTGTAAGTGGGACCCCGTGTGGAGGGCAGGTTCGTGAGCCTCACGTGCTTGGTTCATCTCAAAAGCACCCTGGGCGCTTGTGTTGCGTTTTCCATGTTGGGCTCTGTACTTTTTGAAAACGCAACACATCACACGTTTTGATTTCTAGCTTGTAGAAAACTACTGTATTGAGCGTGTCCATCTTCATCGTATGATCCAGGCGGGGGCTGAGATTGGCTTCTGTGCAAAGCTGAAACGTGTGTTGTATACAAGTTCATTTAGCTATGTATAGCAAACGATCTGGTACCAGTCTGGCACCGGTGCGAAACAGGCCCAGGCCCACGACCCGCCCGCGGTGGGCGCCGACGGTGGGAAACAACATATTTGTATACGCGAAAATAGCAACCGCTGTTTCAAAGTGTTTTGTCTTTCGCTGAGACCCGAAACCGCTAACATATTTTTTTGCTCCAACAGCTGAAGTCGCTATACCAAAACGCCCACGACACACTTCAAATGAACCGAGCTCACGTGAGCGCCCGCGCGTCGCCGAGCGTTTTCGATTGCCACGCCGACTGCCCCGACAGTTGTGGCTCCCGTGCTGCAGGCTGGCAGCGGGCACGTCAAGTGAGAAGCTGGCCTGCCAGCACGTGCCACGCGGGAGTTCCCCATGCCCCGGTGGCCTGCAGAAGCTTCGGACCACCCCAGGAAGCTGAACATCGATGTCTCTTCGCATGCGTCTACCGCTAAGAGACGCGGCCACTGCGCTGTCCCGACGAGCGCACCTGCCGCCTTGGAGGAAGAGAGGGTTCCGGGGCCCCCCGCCAGGTTTAAGTCGGGCCTGTCCCCCTGCAGGAAGAATAGTCAAGGATAGTTAAAAGTAGTCTGGGGACGATTCTTGCACTAGTTCTGAATATTTTTTGAGCATTTGGGGGGTATGTTTGATTTGTCCTCCAAAACCCCCTCTGCACGGGGGCAGGCCCGACCTAGCGCCAGGTGCCCCGACGACTCGCTCCACGTGCTCGGCACCGTGGCCAAGAGCGGAGGGGGCTTCCTCGAGGCGGTCGAGGCTCGGGGAGGGGCACCCCAGAGGGTGCGGTGGCCACGCCGTACGGTGAGTCAGTGGGGACTCATGTTCGGTCGGGCGTGTCCCTCTACAGGGGGAATCCCCCCAAAGAGCAACGGAAACAGTCTGGGGACGACTTTGTCGACTCTTTGCCTGGCTACTTGGGGGTATGTTTCGAGCATGTTCCAGTTGTCCTCAAAACTCTGCCTGTGCAGGGGACCTGCCCGACCCGAATGTTGGGACGCGGCTCGTTCTCCGAGGAGGTCTCGGGCGACTTGGGCCTCCGGGGTCCCAGCGCCGTGCGGCGACGGACCGTGCGATGAGATCCTCGGGGATCCCGAGGAGGTCACAGCACGGTCTGTCCCCGCACCGCTCTGGGATCCCGAAAGGCGGCTCGCAGAGATCTGGGTCTCGGCCTCCATGTCGGAGCTGCTTCTCAGGCGATGCAACTCGCCATATCGCTGGTCCAGGTCGAGGGCGCGATGGCTCTTGCGTGCTCTTGCGATGCCACCGGGGGGATCCCTCGTCGCTGTCGCCACATTCGTGTGGAGATGCTGGCCGGGACCAGATACTGGATCGGGCCCCGACGCGAGTACTTTTGCGAGAGTCTGGAGGAGGAGGAGGAGGAGGAGGTCGCTTCTTTGATAAAGAAAGCGTTTTGTTTCTCCGCTCCTGGGCGATGGCGCGCGTTATTACGGGCGGGACAGGGGCGGCCACGTCACGTGTCGCGCCGGCGCTGTCTGGGGATGCCAAGGGATTACCAGAGACAGCTCGGAGGCCAGCGCGAGTCGTGACGTTCCCTGGGAGGGCTGCTGGGGCTGGTAACGGCCGTCAGCGCATTTTGTGTATATATATAGAGAGAGAGAGAGACAGAGAGAGAGAGACAGACAGACAGAGAGAGAGAGAGATAGAGAGAGAGAGAGAGATTCGAAAAACGCTCTCTAGCAGGGAGCGTTCCAATCCCACGCCACATTTGGGCCTACCCCGAGGGACTTGGCAACGTCGAGGTCCTCGAGATCGACGTGTCGTCTCGCGACTCACGCTGCGATCTCATCGCCGAGCGCTTCGCCGCGGCGCTGCGGGCTGGTGGTGCTGGTTCTGTTGGCGGTGCGACGCGGCCTGTCGCGGCTGCGTCGGCTCCCTGGTTGATCGGTAGCGATCCACATCCTTCGGGGGTGTTCAAGAGGGGGGTCAGGACTAGGGGAGGTGGATCTCATGGCCGCGGCTATGATATCTCCCAGATGTCATGGCCCCTCATTGTTTCAACACGGTCCGTGCCCTCCCTCGTCCGCGCACATGCCTCGAGCCATGATGCGCACGCCCCCTCTTCCTGACCCACGTGAGGGTTCGGCCCAGAGTCTCGAGCTTCGCCAGTGCTTGACGCTTCTGTTCTCTCGATCGTCAGCAGGTATCCTTCTCAATGCCTCGGCCTGTCCAGATCCTGAAACGTGTCAAGGGACTTGGCCTCCCATGTGCCATCCCATGTTCGCATCCTGTTGCCTGTCATTTGTCATCAGAGTTTGCTTGCACTTACAGGTTCATACTTGTCCCCCTTGAGGAGTTTGACGGGTATGGAAGGGTTTCGGCTGGTGCCCAGTCGGTGGGCGCTTCGTGGGCGCCCCGCGCCAAGAGGATCTGCTGAGGCTTCGCCTGGTGCCTGCCCGTAGGCAACTCGTGCCCGTCCTGTACGCTGGGGGGTGCATTGCGAGGTTTCGCCCGGTGCCCGCCCCCTGGAGCGCCTCCTGGGCTCCCCGTGCGCTGGGGCGATGTGCCGCGGTTTCGCCTGGTGCCCGCCCTTGGGCGCCTCGTGGGTGCCCACGGGCGCTGGGGGGACATGTCGAGGTTTCGCCTGGCTCCCGCCCGTGTCCGCCTCGCTGGTGCTTCATGCGCCCACGCATATTCTCTTGATGTGTATATATCCATGTATATATATATATATATATATATATATGTATACATATACACATACATACACATGTATATGCGTATATGTAAATGTGTATATATATATATACAAGTGGCACGTGTGTGCCCAGGCTCATACAACAAGCTGAAGGGGCGTTTGAAGCATGAGTGACATGCAACAGCGAAGTCGCACTCGAGCGCAAGTGGGGTTGCCACACCTTGCGATGTGTGTACCAGGGCCCCCCAGGAAGCCTCAGGAGGCCCGACTTGGATACCAGGAGAGGCTCCAGGAGGCCCCAGGATTGTGAGTGTTGTGTGTGTGTGTGATGTGTGCTTTGTGTGGTGCGTGCTTTTTGCGTGTTGTCGGTGTGTGTGTGTGTGTATGTTATGTTTGTCTAGCGTGTGATGTGTTGGGCGTGATTTGTGTCTCTGTGTGTGCATGTAGTTCTGAAGCCCCAGGAGGCCCCAGGAGGCCCCAGGCGGCCTCAGCAGGCCCAGGAGAACTCCAGGAGGCTCCGAGGCGGGGTCTGGGGTACCAGAAGGTCCAGAAAGCCCCAGGAGGCCCCAGGAGGTTCCAGGAGGCCCCCAGGAGGCTCCGAGGAGGGGTCTGGGGCTCGATTTTGGGAGGATGTCTCAGGCGAAACCGCCATTCTCTGAGAATCGGAGTCAAAATCATTGAAATTACCATGTGTTTTTGAAGGTTTATGATAAAATGTTGGAAATCCTATGTGTTTTTGGACCCTGACGTCACGATCTGCGTGAGGGGTGCCACCGATTTTCAGAATTTCGAGGATGTCCCGAGCGAAACGGCCAGAAAAATCGCGAACGACGGACGCATTAATCGCCTCTGAGCTCTACTCCCTCGGAGAGGTGCGTATGAGAATATGTTTATATCTATGTATATATATATATATATATATATATATATATATATATATATATATATATATATATATATATATATTATATACAGAGATCAAAAATCTCCCCCCCCCGGGATTATCGACTCCCCTTTTCGCACTGCAGTTTACATATGGTTCCGCCCCATCGCCCATCCTGAATCTGAACCCATGCCACCATCCCAGCCGGACCGGTATCCGCCCCCGCGCCGCCATCCTCTGCAAAACGTACTATGCGCGCACACTCGTTTGTAAAATATCATAAGTTGTCAAGAATCCGTTGCAAACAAAAATGAGACAAAATGCACACGCGCGCGTCGTCTCGCGCGCATGCCGAAATCCGTCAACAACCTTCGGTTTCGCACGGATTTCAAAATCGAGCGTTCGAAAAACAATGCGATCGCATGGTTTCGCAACACAGATGTTCAACAACATTTGCGCGCGCCCTTGTGCATTCCGATTAAAAAATCAATCGTTTTTTTCCGAATTCTCAAAAAGGGCTCCCAAACGGGCTTCGCGCGCGCATGTCGAAATCGTTCGAACGCCCTTGCGCGCGTACGGTCGCGAGAATCCTTTGGAATAAATGGGACGAAATGCGCGCGCGCCCGCCGTCGCGCGCGCATGCGGGAATCCGTCAAAAACGTTCGGTGTCAAACCATCGGTGTTTCAACATGTTCATCGAATTTTGCCAAGCGGACCTCTGGCGCCGCATGCCGACATCATTCGCATGCCCTTGTGCGCATGTGGAGGGGCACGATCCGTGTCAAGTCATACCATCCGGGCCATTATCGCGCGTCGGCCGCGCGTGAATGTCGAACTCTTTCCAAAACATTCATCACCGACGCGAGGACGCCGTCATCGTCGCCGGCGTGATCAGCATCGGCGCCTGCACTGGCCATGTCGTCGTCGTTGTCAACATCGTCACCAGCATCGCTACTCTCATCATCATGTCTACTGTTGTCGACCTTGCCATAATATCGCGCCCGCACAAGTCGCCGAATCGCAGTGAAGTGCCCGTTGGGACGTTCCCAGCGGTCAGCGCCACCGCGGCCGCGTCGGTCGCGCCAAACTAGCTGACCGCTGCGCGCGCGTGTTTGGGTTGGCGCGGCCGCAGAGATGCACCAGCCAACGCCGCGCATGCATCGCAATCGCCACCGCATGGGTCTTGCATACCAACTTGCGGGTGGGTGGGTGGGATGTTTGCAAGAGCGTGGTCTGTGCCAATTTGTTTGTTAATGCCGATTTAGACTCTACCCCCCCCCCCCGAATTAACGGTACACCTTTTCGTATTGCAATTTACACACGATTCTGCCCCATCGTCCATCTTAAATATGAATTCATAATATCCCAGCAAGGCAGGTATCGACCCCCCGCCATCCGCTGCAAACAATGCTACGCGCGCGCAAACGTTTATTCCAAGAACCCCCTGCAATAAATGGGACGCCGTGCGCACGCGCGCGTCGTCGCGCGCGCATGCCGGAATCCTCCAAAAACCTATGGGTTCGGATGGGATTCAAAATCGAGTTTCCAAGAACACATATTAAAACACAGGGTTTCCAACATTGATGTTCTAAAATAATTTACACGCGCGCTCTTGCGAAATCTTAAGAAAACCAGGAGTTGTTCAACAATTTTAAAAATACTACCAGGAGCCTCGCGCGCGCACATGTCGAAATCGTTTGATCGCCCTTGCGCGCGTGCCGTCGCGAGACTCCTTTGCAACAAATGGGACGAAGTGCGCGCGCTCGCGTCGTCGCGCGCGCATGCCTGAAATCCTTCAAACACCGTCGGTATCGGAAGGATTTCAAAATCGAGTGCCCAAACAACATACAAAAACACAGGATTTCGCAACGTTGATTTTCAACAAAAGCTTGCGCGCGCGCTGGCATCGTCGTTGCCGTCCTCCCTCCTCCCTCGTCGTCGTCGTCGCCGTCGTCGTCCTCTGTCTTTCCTCGTCGTCGTCGTCGTCGTCCTATTTGGCGTCGTCGTCGTTTCCGTCGTCGTTGTCGCCGTAGTCGTCCTTCCTCCTCCCTCGTCGTCGTCGTCGTCGTCCGTCGTCGGCGTCTCGTCGTCGTCCCTCCTATTTCGTCGCCGTCGTCGTCGTCGTCGTCTTCCCTCCTCCCTCGTCGTTGTCGTCGTCGGCGTCGCCCTCCTCCCTTCTTCTTCGTCGTTCACGTCGTCGCCGTCCTCCCTCCTCCCTCGTCGTTGTCGTCGGTGTCGCCGTCGTCGTCCTCCCTCCTCCCTCGTCGTCGTTGGCGTCGGCGACGTCGTCGTCGTCTTCGTCGTCGTCGTCGTCGTCGGCTCGTCGGCGGCGTCGTCGTCGTCGGCGTCGACGTCGTCGTCGTCGTCCTCGTCGTCGGCGCCGTCGTCGTCGGCATCGACGTCGTCGTCGTCGTCGTCGTCGGCGTCGTCGTCGCTGTCGTCGTCGTCGGCGTCGTCATCGTCGTCGTCGTCGGCGTCGTCGTCGGTGTCGCCGTCATCGTCGTCGTCGTTGTCGTCGTTGTCGAAATCGTCGGAGACGTAGTCGGTGTCGTCGTAGTCGTCGTCGGCGTAGTCGTCGTGGTCGTTGTCGCTGTTGTCGTTGGCATCGACGTCGTCGTCGTCGTCGTCGTTCTCGTCGTCGGCGTCGTCGTCGCCGTCGTCGTCGTCGTCGGCGTCGTCATCGTCGTCGTCATCGTCGTCGTCGTTGGCGTCGGCGTCGTCGTCGTCGGTGTCGCCGTCGTCGTCGTCGTCGTCGTCGTTGTCGTCGTCGTCGAAATCGTCGGAGACGTCGTCGGTGTCGTCGTAGTCGTCGTCGGCGTAGTCGTCGTGGTCGTTGTCGCTGTTCTCGTTGGCGTCGCTGTCGTTGCCAAGTGCCATTTGGTACCCACCGTCACGGTCTTAAGAAGTCTTGCGACCAAGTTGCGGGTGGGAGGGTGGAATGTTTGCACGAGCAGTGGAGAGGACAGTTTCAAGACAGTCAAAGTGAAATGCACCACATCGATTTTCTGTTCTAAAAAAGAAATAGGTTCTACCACCCTCCCCCCCGGACCTACCACCCTCCCCCCTCGGACTTAACGATTCATTTTTTCGTATCGCAATTTTCATACGATTCGGACCCAATGTCCATCCTACCTGTGAACTCATACTATCTCAGCTAAGCCGGTATCGCCCCACCCTGGCCATCCTCTGCAACAAATACTATGCGCGTGCATTCGGTCATCAAAAATCATATGTTGTCAAAAACCCTTTGCAAACCATATGACGAAGTGCACACGCGCGCGTTGCGGGGCGCGCATGCCGACATCTTTCAAGAACTGGTTTCGGAAGGATTTCAAAATCGAGTTTC